CCTCAAGAATGGCTCCATTCTGCTCAGGATTGCTTAACTGTAACTAATTGTAAAGCTGTCTGGATAGCTTAGGGAGTTGGGTATCTGGCCAGAGGTTGGGAGTTCATTTCCCCACTGTGTCTCCTGGGGAAACAGCCAGCTGTGTGGCCTTGTGCAAGCTGCACAATCCCGGGTTGCCACAGAAGAAGCGAATGGTAAACCACTTCTGAGTAGTCTGTACCTCGAAAACCCTGAGAAAAGGGTTGCCATTAAGTCAGAATTGATGGCACACAATTAATGTTATAACTAATTGTAAAGAGGTCCTGAATTTAAAATTAAAACTCATTTCATGCTTCTAAAATTTAAAACAACTTAGTGATTATAGGTTTTAAGAGCAAAGACAACGCAAGGATGAAGCTAGCCCATGTTTGAGATAAAGGCCAGTGTGGCTTCACAAAAAGCTGAGGGAGGATCTAAAACCAAAAAAGACATGGACAGGAAATGGAAAGAAGGCCAAGCCACCAAGGATGAGTACAGACAAACAGCAAGAAAATGCGGGGGTGGCATTAAGAGGGAAAAAACTGAGAATGAGCTGAGGTTAGTCAGAGACACTAAAAGGAATAAAAAAAATTATTCTTCAGGTATGTGAGTAGCAAAAGACAAACAAAAGACATAGGGGCACAGCTCCTCAATGGAGATGGAAAAATGATAGCAGATGACAAGGAAAAGGCAGAGGTGCTCAATTCCTATTTTAGTTCAGTCTTTTCCCATAAGGCAGACTATGAACTTTCAAAGAAACTGGAAGTTCAAGTGGAGGGACAGGTTGCAGCTGGAGATAAACAAATAGTCAAGGAATATCTTACCACCTTGAACAAGTTCAGATCTCCAGGGCCGGATGAACTGCATCCGAGAGTAGTAAAGCAACTAAGATGAAGAACTCTCAGAACCGCTATCCATTATTTTCTTGAAATCATGGGAAATGGGGGAGATGCCAGAGGATTGGAGGAAGGCTAATGTTGTCCCTATCTTCAAAAAGGGCACAAAAGAGGAACCTGGGAACTACAGGCCAGTCAGACTGACGTCAATCCCAGGGAAAAGTCTGGAGCAGATTGTAAAGTAGTCATTGTGCAAGCACCTAGAAAACAATGCAGTGATAACTAGAAGCCAACATGGATTTGTCAAGAACAAATCCTGCCAAACTAAGTTGATCTCGTTTTTTGATCAGGTCACCTCCCTGATAGACAGAGGGAATGCTATAGATGTAGTATATCGTGACCTCAGCAAAGCTTTTGATATCATGATATCCTGACTAGCAAGCTAACTAGGTGTGGGCTGGATAGATCAAGGGTCAGGTGGATACACCATTGGCTACAGAATCATACTCATAGGGTGATGATGGGATTAATGGGTCCTTCTCTAACTGAGAGGAGGTAACTAGTGGGGTACCCCAAGGCTCAGTCCTGGGCCTGGTGCTCTTCAATATTTTTATTAAAGACCTGGATGAGGGAGTGCAGGGAATGCTTGTCAAATTTGCAGATGATACCAAATTGGGCAGAATAGCTAATACCCTAGAAGACAGAAACAAAATTCAATATAACCTTGATAGGATGGAGTACTGAGCCGAAAGCAACAGAATGAAATTCAAAAGGGATAAATGCAAAGTCCTGCACCTTGGAAAAAGAAACCAGTTGCACAGTTATAAGATGGGGGAGATCTGGCTCAGCAAAACTACGAGGGAGAAGGATCTTGGAACTGTCGTAGCTCACAAGCTCAAAATGAGCCAACAGTGTGAGGTGGCTACAAAAAAAGGCAAATGTGATTTTAGGCTGCATTAACAGAAGTACAGTTTCCTAATCCCACGAGGTGCTATCCCCCCTCTATTCAGCACTGGTTAGGCCTCACCTTGAGTATTGCGTCCAGTTCTGGACACCACACTTCAAGAAGGACGCTAACAAACTGAAACAAATTCAGAGGAGGGTGACAAGGATGATCAGGGGGCTGGAAACCAAGCCTTATGAGGAAAGACTGAAAGAATTGGGCATGTTTAGCCTTGAGAAAAGAAGACCGAGGAGTGATATGATAGCACTTTTCAAATATTTGAAAGGCTATCATACAGAGGAGGGGCAAGATCTGTTCTCGATCATCCCAGAGTGCAGAACATGCAATAAAGGGCTCAAGTTAAAGGAAGCCAGATTTCAGTTGGATAGCAGGAAAAATCTCCTAACTGTTACAGCAGTACAACAGTGGAATCAGTTACCTCGGGAGTTGGTGAGTGCTCCAAAACTGTAGGAATTCAAGAAAAACTTAGATAATCACCTGCCAGATATGCTTTGATTGCATTACTGCATTGAGCAGGGGGTTAGACTTGATGGCTTTCCAACTTCACTTTTCTATGATTTCTATAAGTGCCAGCTCCAAGATTTGGTGGGCCCACAGGCATGGCATCCACAGGGGCTCCCCTACCCTGGATATAAACTGGGAATTCTCAAAGGCTGCATTGGATCTTCTTGGATGATCTATGGAAAGCACAATCTAGAAGATTGTTGGAATGGCGGGATCTGCGCTGGTCTTCAGATCCTTGTAAATACCTGATTATGTTATTTGAAGTTGACCCTGCCTGAGATGGTACACCCAAACAACAGACAGCCTCAGGCGCTTCCAGACAGCGGGCTTTTGGGCGCTACCAGTCGAAACACATTGTGCAGCTTTTCCATCTCCTCAACCCACCCCAACCTCTAAGTGGATTACTTGTGGGTAAAAATCCAGAAAAATTATGAATGGGTGATGGTGATATCTGGGCCACAAGGGAAATTGTATGAGGACTCAATCCATAGGGTCCCTTCTAGCTTTGCAGTTCTAAAATTATTATTATATAACTGTTTTCTACCTGGGATGCACCTTTGTTGAACAGTAGTAGCCTGACCTGAATGGAGAGCCAAAGAAGCCACTCTTTGTGGGTCTAGAAGATAATAAGACCTACCAGGCTATGTTGTGTATAGCTAGAAAAGTGGCCTGTAACGCTTGCACCCTTTTTATTTATTTATTTTATGTACAAATTTATGGCTACATTCCCCCCACCCCCAAAATTGCCAGAAAATGTAACAATATGCCTCTTGCAGATTAAAAAAGCTTATGAGGAAAGCATCAGCCTGTCTGCTACTGGCTACTTCAGGTAAGGAAGCATTTCTCATATCTTTGTGTGATTTCAAGGAAATCTCCAAACTTGACTCCATGTTTTTATTTTGGAAGAGGGGGCTATTGCATTTGCATTGAGGGAGAAACTGATGGGGATTATTTCCCCATGATGGCTTCCTGCTCAGGATTAGTGAATGGTAACTGAAACTCAAGCCAGTAGCCTGGCAAAATGCTGTCCTCTGGGTTTTGTTAGACATCAGCTCCCATCAGGTCTTGCCTTCAGAGGCAATGATGAGGGGTGATGGGAACTGCACTCTGGAGGACCGCCGTTTCCCTACCCAGGCTGTTGTACGTTAGCTGGCCCATGTCTCCTGAAGGAGGGGTTGGACCAAAGGACACCCAGGATACAGGAACTGGTAGACCTCTTGGCCTCACTTTCCTGACCTGCCCCACTGCCACCACCAACCTGATCCGTGCAAAGAACAGGGCAGGGTGTAAAGCGGGCGAAGGCGTTATCTGCTGATGACCGGAAGTAGGAAAGCCCCATACTCACAACTGTATCTACTGCCACAAAGAAAAGTTCCTAGGAGTTTAGAAAAACTAATTTTTGGTTACATGTAATATTCTGGGAGTGGTTGTACAAAAACGAACAAAAAGCAAAAGCAAAACCTTTGCGGCATCTTAAAAACTAACATGTGAGTCTTCATGGATCACAACCCACTTCTTCAGACAATACGATACACACGCCTCTGGAGAAATAGATTGTAATCCATGACAGCTCTCGCTGAAATGAATTTCAGCCCCCGGTCATGGTGGATATGGGGTTCTGGGACTTGTGGTTCAACACAAGGTAACTTTTCCCATCTCTATTGTAGCCCAAGCAGAGTTACAAACTGGCAGGAAACGGCGAGAGCGCAAAGGGCCAGAGACCCACAACAGGCCTGGGCCATTTCAATAGTCCTCTGAAAGAAAGGAGGAGTGGGGAAAGCGAGAGGAAGCCAGGAAAGTTGCTGAGCAGGAAGCGAGGAGGAAAAATGAAGGAGAGTAAAAGAGGAGAAGGGAAGAGAGAAAGGAGGAGAAAGGAAACCATGTGGGAGGTAGATGCTGAGGAAGCAGCCAAGACAAATCTACTAGGTCCTTTTATCAGCTACAGACAGGGCCGTGTTAGGATTACTTGACTGTCTGAAGCCAACATAAGAGTTAACACTGATGGGTGTGTGCGTGTGTGTATGAAGCTGAATACAGAAATGTGGTCCATAGGACAGAATGTGGTTCATAGGACAGAAGCGTATCTCCTGGCCAGAAAAACACAAGGTAAAGCATACAAAGAAGGAAGCCTGATCCACATCTGAAACAACTGCTCTTTTGGATTCTCATGCTTAACCGGTATGAAGTCTCCTTCAATGAGGAGCTCAAGATGGCTTCCTTGTTTCCCCCCTCCCCCATTTTCTTTCTCACAGAAGCCATGTGAGGTAGGTTAGGTTGCTGAGAGACAGTGACTGGCCAAGATCACCCTGTGAGCCTGATAGGTGAATTTAGATCTGAACCAGGGTCGTCTCAGACCTTGTCAATGCTACGCCATGGTGTCTACACCTGTCTATTGGAAAAGTTCATAATTGGAAAGGACAACCTCAGGAGCCTACAGTATCTGAGCCAGACTATTCAGGGAGATCATATGTCACTCTCACCATTGTTAAGAGTCCAGCTGAACCTGTTAAATGAGGAACTACCTGTTGGCACACTGCATGATCCATCCCACCCAGTGCTCGAGAAATACTGTACATAGCATTCATTAAATGTGGCCTTTCCACACAATTTCTGGGTCTAACTGATGATATGGCTGCGAAAGCTGGAATCCAACACCAAAAGGACTCTTGCTACTTTTTCCCTCCCCTCAGAGGATATCCCACCTACATGGACTGGGAGAAAGGAGAAGGCCATGCATTCCCATATTTCATTTTTGGCGCTGCTTGTTCTGAAGTTGAGATTGACTGCTTGACAGGCGACCATAAGGTAAAAAACACTTTCTTCCCAAAGCTTAACAAAGTTAGCCCTTGGAAATGACTGCTGGCTGAGAAATTCTGGGACCTGTATTCCAAAATATTAACTTTTCCAAACTCTGCTCTGCACTTTCCCAGTTCATAGGTGAGCTGATGGCTCACCTCCTCTTCATGTTTTGTATGGCTCTTTCCTCTACAGCAAGAACCTTCTGCCACCAGATGTTCTGAAAGACAAAAGCATACATGACTGGATGTTGATAAACCTTCACGTACCAAAAGTGGAGAATATCAACAGCTATTAGTGATGGAAAATACCAAAACTTGTTAGACTTCAGAAATCACGTCATGCTTCCAATATAATACCCACAATGTCTTCTTTAAATTTTTTTTTCTAGCCAGTCCTTTATTCTAAAAGAAGTGATAGGTAAAGGTGAAATATTTTGGTATAACATTATTCATTTCTAACAGCGAACAAAGAATTGGAGCAAAAGACAAGTTAAATCTAGAGAACTCACAAAATGTGAAGGGATTATATTATGAAAAGAAAACAAAGGTGGTATAATAAGGTAATGAAGGGTAAAAATTTATAATGAAGGGTAAGTAAAATTTATAAAATATTATTGGAAGCTAGCGATCAAGAGGACTAACAGAAATCATTGTGGGAATTTGATATGGGAGAATAAATAAACTCTAGTGATTGCAAAAATATATGGAACAGTAATATATTAAAATGCATGTATATAAGGACAGAAATGTTGTTAAGGTATCTGGCTGTGGAGTCAGAAGTATTTAAAGATGGTACTTAACTCCAGGGAACCTTAACCAAATAGGTGCTGGAGAGGATGTCAGAAAATAGGTACTGTACATATTTTCACATGTGGTGGAAATACCAGTATTTTGCCAAAAAAGTATAAGAAAACAAATGAAATAAGTGATTTAAACTTAGTCATATGTCCTAAAATAGCACCTTTATTGATTTTTGAAAAGGAGGAAGGTAACTGAATAACTGATGAATTATTTTCCAGTCTGTTAAAAGTGCCTGGATTAATTATGGCTAGGAATTGGAAAATAGCTTACAGTACAATATTTTGTTAAGTGATTGGTATAGGGAAATCTGGGATACAGCCATCAATTACAATAACCTCACATGTATTGTTCATGTTAAGAGGGAGGTGTTTATAAGCATTAGGGGAGGATTTATTGATTTTGTCTTAATAAAGGGAAAGAGACAAAGACCAGTACAAAAATCCATATAATTCTGGAAGGGAAATGAGGTAGTTATTCCCAAATGGTCCCAGTAGTGGAAAGTGCTTTGTATGTAGATTTTCTAATTATTATTAGAAATTTAAATGTTAGATGTTCTTTTTTCTTTGTCTGCACTTGTCTTTTACTAGTTTACTAAAAAAGAAAAGCCTATAAAGCATCGCCTAGAGAGTATGTCAATCCCTTTGGGATGCCCAGATAAAAACAGTTTATCTGGACCCAAATTATATCACATTGCCCATTTTTCAGGGGAGAGACAACTCTCACGAAGAGTAGATAATTTTCATGCAGAAAGTTACAGGTATGTATATATATAGAGAGAATACAGTTCATGAAATTCTTTGAAATATGTGCCTTTTACATGTAACGTTTGTTTTCTTCATACTAATGTCTTTCCTTTAAGAGATCATTCACATAAAATATAGGTATATTTAGGTATCTTTAGCTCTACTCCCTAACTGACAACTAGCCAATGACTCTATAACCCCCTGACCGCTTTTCAGGAGTTGGTTAACGACCACTTCTGAGGAGGGAGTTCCCTGTCTTCTGACTTCTCTCCAAGATTTCTCCAGCCTTTACTCTGATCCAGTGACTGATGGAAGCCTCAACTCCGGCCCATCTACTGAGGCTCTAGTCACCACTTTTTCCTTGAATCAGATAGCGATCTCCTTGCTTACTTCTTGACAGGCTGGCCTTGAGTGACCTCAGCCTGTGTTGCTGTTGGGACCTTTTCAGGTTTTACCAAACCTATTCAGAGAAACTGTCTGAGTTTTCCTCTGTTTATTTTCTGGCTCTTCCTTTGTCTTCTCCACCAAAATGTAGGCTTCTAATTCCCTTCCCAGATTCCTAGCTTGTGGGAAATTATATTTTTATTTATTTATTTATTCTATTTATATCCCGCCTATCTGGTAACATGACCACTCTAGGCGGCTTACAAAGTCATAATACAATAATAGAGTAATAACAGCAGCAATAAAAAAGGAATTATTACAATCGATACTAAAAACTTCAAGATAGGAAAAATGAAAATAAACTACAAGAAGAAGAGAAGAGAAAAAGCAAATACTGTATATAGACACCAGTCATATTTAGGGATGGCTACAATGTTAAATTAAAAAGCCTTAAGTGTCCTTCCAGTTGAAAATTCTTGAAATGTTTTTATCTGTGCTAGAAACAATGTTCAGGGTATGTATTGATAGCATGTGCATACTCTAAATCTATTATGGGTCTTTGTATCAATTATCTTCAATTATGGGAATCAGTGTGGTGTAGTGGTTAGAGAGGTGAACTAAGATTTGGGAGATTCAGGGTTCTAGTCCTCACTGAGCCATGAACCTCACTAGGTGCCATTGGGACAGTTACTTTCTCTTTGCCTGATGATAAAAGTTAAGTTGTTGTGAGGAGATAGTGTGAAAGAGGAGAGTCATGTACATTCAGTGCATTCATTGGTGGAAAAGTGACATGTAAATACTGTACAATTTTAAAACAGTGTTTATCCTTTACTTATGATAACATAAATGAGCTGACAGAAGGTTATTTGTGCTACAGAATATCCGCACAGATATCGTCATGGACGCCTGCTTCAGCATCAATCCGGCTATCGACATAGGCCAGGTACGTATCAGAGAGTTCTGAACTCACATAACACACAAGGTCCTAGCAAATAGCTCAGCACTAACGTGATTTGAATTATCTATAAGGTCTGTTTCTTCTCCAAGTGAAAGATTTAATGGCAAAGTTGGGTTTACCATACCCTGGAAAGGCAAATACTGTACCAGCTTAACAGGACAACCCTGTGCATATCTGGTTGCTTGTTTAATTCAGTGGCGGAGTCTGCATGTCACAACAAGTCAGAATACAATAGAGTTATGGCACAAGAGGGATGAGGCAGCTTTTGCTGTGGATCACTCCCACCTGCAGCAAGAAGGACAAGCTATACCATGGAGTTTTTTCTCAGATGACAGTATGAGGCAAAAGCTGGCCCTCTTAGTTGTTTCTTTCCTGGGCCATTTAAATTACTTTGGCATGCTGAAGAAACAAAGCAGAATTTTATTGGAGAAACAAGCCAGAGTGCTGATTGTTGCTGCATTTGTGTATCCTAAGAAACTAACCGGCTGAAAACTGTGGTTTGTTTAGATGCTCCCCTGACAAGGGTGGTGGTCCGAACATGGCAGGAAGTGGGCTGGCTTGCCGCAGTGAGTCCTGTGAAGTCCTGGCTCAGGCTTGCCGTGACCTCCAAACATAACCAAGAAAAAGAAATGTGTGGTCTTTTTATACTGCCCCATTGCATTTCAAGCACTCACTGGGCGGTTTACAATTTAATTATTCAGGCTACATATTGCTCCCCCCCCCCGAGAACTGGGTACCAATTTTACCGACCTCGGAAGAATAGAAGGCTGAGTCAACCTTAAACTGGCTACCTTGGATTAGAGTCCTGGGTCGTGAGCACAGTTTTGGCTGCAGTACAGCAGTTTAACCACGGCACCACGAGAAAACGGGGGCCCAGGTAAATAAATGTGGGATGGCAGCCCAGCTTGTAATGACAAAGTCTTAATTATCCAGCAGCAATCTATGCAAAACAGAATGCATATGTTTCTATTTCCTCAGATTGAAGGGGGCTTTATTCAGGGACTTGGTCTTTATACAATGGAAGAAATCAAATTCTCTCCTGAGGGACAGCAATACACTCTGGGCCCTGATACGTATAAAATTCCTGCTACCTGTGATGTCCCGGAAAAGTTTAGAATCTACTTGTTGCCAAACTCCAGAAATCCAATAGCCATCTACTCCTCCAAGGTAAGAAAAGAAGAAGCTTCTGCTTCGTGCTTCAAAAAACATTGCATTTTAAACTCTTATTCGTTCCAGGGGAGGGGGGGAAGCTACTTACAAGTTATGCTTTGCCGACTTCTACTCTAAAGAGCAACAAATGCTTTGGTTAATTGAAGTGAGAAATTCTGTAGCAACATGGAATATCTCTAGAAATAAACGTTTTAAAGCAGCCCTCTGTACAATGAAGGCATTTCCTGCTTTCTCTTAGGTTTTTATATGCCAGTAGTATCTAAAGATCTGATGTACTGTAGATGTTTAGCCATGGACATACTGTTGGCAAGCTACCGAACTCTGGAATTACACAACCATTGTTCTTTTTTTAGGTTCTTTTTTGTTGTTGTTTAGTCATTAAGTCATGTCCGACTCTTTGTGATCCCATGGACCAAAGCACGGCAGGCCCTCCTGTCTTCCACTGCCTCCTGGAGTTGGGTCAAATTCATGTTGGTAGCTTTGATGACACTGTCCAACCATCTTGTCCTCTGTCATCCCCTTCTCCTCTTGT